AATGTATGGTGCTTCATAGGATTAATATCGTCCATATTCTAATCACAAAATAAAAGACAGTTAGGTGCTTAACGCTTTTAAGTTCAAAATCCTAATAGAATTTTTTTAAATATTAAAACATGATTTATCTAATATTTATTTTTATTCTAGCTTACACATAATAAACATCATAAAAATACAAATAATATTGATAAAGATGAAGTTTTCTATCCACAACGTGGTATAGAATATCAACCTTCATTTACGGATGATCTTTTATTTTGGTTTCCTGGTCTTGGTTGGTTTTATTATTTATTTTTTGGTTATACACCAAGAACAATAAATCATTTTAATCCAGTAAATCAATATGATTTTATCTAGAAAGAAAAACAAATTATTTGCTTTTTATTTAAGTTTGAACCATTATTCTATAACAAACATTCATTTGGTGTTTGTCTTTCGCTTAGTACATATTTAGGAATGGTATGTTTGTTTTTCTTCTATTTGAAATAAAAATTTATTTTCTTTTTACTTTCTAGTGCTACTTGATGTATCTCTATGCAAGTTCTTTTGGTTTTATTAGTTTACTTGTTTATCATCTTATACCAGTATTCATATTTGCATCTTATATGGTTATTATAACCATGTTACATCATACAGAAATGTAATGTAGTTTTGATTTAAAAATTCGATGTTGAGATTTTGATACGGTTGGATAATCGTCGATCTTTAATACGAGTTACCGAATATATTAGAATTTTTTACGGTTTGTTTTCTATACCGTGCTTTTCTATTTTTGCTTGCTCTTATGTCAAAGATTTCTCAATGATTTTACATGTTAGAAAGTTTGGAAAAGAGACGATATTTTGGAATATTGTATTCTGCTATGTTGTAATGGCAGGTCTCGACTGCATTTTAAAATCAACCCAAAATCTGTATGATTAGACTTTGATAGGTCGAAATATTTACTGTGATGTATTAATCCATTTCCGCCATTGATAATTAGAATTGCCATTTTTAGAAACACTGTAGAACGCGTGATATTAAAAATTTTTTACACATTGCATGTCGAGAATTCCCTAAACTGCCAATTAGCAGAAAACATTTTGCATGATTACTCTGTCTCCAAGCTATACAATGTACACAAAAGACGACAACGAGATGATTAAAAAACAAGGATATATTTTTTTAAAGTTTTTTTTTCTTACGTGAAATATATACCCATTGATGATGTGTTGTATGATAAATAGCCATGAACGTTATCAACAAGAGATTCTACGACATAAAATGACCACTAAAATTGCCCAAATTACCCTGCACACAAGGAAATGCATCTGATCGATTTGGTACACTATTCGTGTACCAAAGATGTCAATACTCTATCTCAATAGTTATTTCGTTAGTAACTCTGCTGAAACTGTTATCGAGATTCAGGAGACTGCTCTTTCTGACGTTTCTCAGAAACGGTACAACGAAAAATTATGAAAATTTTATGGCAGATAAATCTCGATAAGTAGAGCAAAAGTTGTCATGAACTCAGAATTCCCAGATGTTTCGTTCAGAGAGATATGAAGCTGCAAAGACCAAAAATGGCCAGAAGTGGTCTCTTCTCTCCCATCTCTCAAAACTCGATACTTCATTTTTTCGAGCTGCAATATTGTTTATAGCAATTAGAATCAAATTGGGATGCGTGTTTCTTTTTTTCTTTCAAAAAATACCGTTTCTCAGACTCTGGAAAAGTAGAATACTGGAAGTACTGTCAAAAAGCGTTTTTTTTTTTATTAATGTTATTAACTCTTTAAAGGCCAACGAATTTCATAGGAATAACATTTTCGAAGAAAAAAAAAAATTTACTCTAATTGAACCAAAGTGCCCATTAAAAAAATTAAACTCGATCGAACGTATTGTACAGGGAAAACATATGGCATTTGACAGATGACATCTCGAACCTATACCAAAAATTGAAAACAAATTTGAAATTAACATCTGGAAAGCCGAAGTTCCCTTAAGACTCGGATACAACTTCCTAGAGATTTTCAGCTAGATCGATTGTTCTGATAGAAGGGTGAGCCTTAATAATTTTCTTTTTATGTATAGTGATGTTCCTTGGTATGCAGATTCTGAATGGAATAATGTTAAAGGACAATTATCAACTGTTGATCGTCATTATGGTTGTGTTCATTCAGTAATTCATTCAATTGGTACACATCAAATTCATCATCTTTTTACAAAAGTACCACATTATCATTTAGGTATGAAATTATCATATAATTAGTTTGATCTTTTCTTGTTATTTTTTTTTTTTATTTTGTAGAAGAAGCAACGGTACATTTTCGCAAAGCCTTTCCTGATCTTGTTCGAATTAATGAAGAACCAGTTATAGTTTCATTTGCTCGTATGTTTAAAATCTTTATTAAACAACGATGCATTGATTATAATGTACAAATATTTACATATTCGGAAGATGGAACTGATAACAAGAAAAAACTTGATAGTCAATGAAAAAGAAAATTCAATTTTAAACATTAGCATCAAACATTAGTTTATTTTTCTTTTCCTCTGCCACTTATTCTATGACAATCAAAATCATTTGACAAAATATAAAAATAAAAGCAAAAAATCAAATTTCATGATCATCTCTTTTCTTTCGTAGATAGTGGGTTTGTACCTTTATTATGATCGTTTTGCCCTTTTTTTTGTGAAAACTCAAATAAACATATAAAATAACTTTAAAAAATAATCGATAACCGACAAGAAAAACATGTCGAGATTTGCACCATGTTGATAGAAAATATGACACAATGTTTCCTACTTTGAACGAATAGAGATCTGTAATGTGCCAAGCGAAGAAAATATTTTTTGCAACTCACATATTTGAAAGACTAATCTATGGCATGAAAGTCTTGGTGCAATATATTCACTTATTGTTCGACTACACACAAACAACTCGTTAGATTTAGTTAGAATCAGACATTTTCTCTCTTTCCAAATATATATTCAGAATTTCCTTTCGGAAGATAAGATTGAACGACTACTTAGGGCATACAAAAAATCAGTGATTTTATCAGATTAAATCCTACAGGAAGAGTTAATCAAGTATTTGAACTAGTAGCTATGCTTAATCATCCACACTTAGCTTGTTTGAAGACATTTGTTGAAGCTATTCTTCAAATAATATTTGATTAATAAATTCATCATCTTGAACATGACACTCCATGTTGTGATTAGAGGTTGTTTGATTGATAAAGTTCATCAATTAGATCGAGCACCTACAAAACGTAATACTTTATCTGCAAAATAAAATGAATATAAAATAATTATTCTTAAACAGTTTCAGCACACACTCTATGGTACGAACTGCATCTATGGTGAAATTTTTTGGCAAGATCAAACTCCTAAAAGCGTCCTTTCAAAACTCGAATTTCTAGAGATTTCGAAGAATAATTTGTACTGTTTGAAATTCACTTTTAACTTCTCATTCAATTATAAGGGCAATATTTTCGTACTCTTTTATGTCGCTAATGAAAAATAAATCAATATTTTTTTAAAATCTTGGCATACTCAGAAAAAAATTTAGATATATTTTGTAATCTCAGAAGTTGTCTACAGAATATACTCTTTAGTTTTGTCTCAATTCAGACTTATTTTAAATTGAAATGCATTAAGTGAAAGTTGATATCGTTTTTTGTGTCCCGTCAACAATACTGTTTTTTTTACTGATAACTCCTTTGAACAATGGTCTCTGCAACTGATTTCCCTCAGGATATCTGGAGTAACTTTATGTACACGTCACATATTAAAATAAGCTATAGAAAGATCCTTTATCTCGAGATTCAAGTGTTTTTATTTTGTGAAGCCACGTTACTAACGAATAATTTTCGTTCATAGGCAACTTTTGTTACTCTATCGAACTATGTAAAAGTTACAGTACAATCTTTAGTTTAAAAATTTTTACAAATTGTATACTAGTAGTAAGTGATTCATAAAAAGCAAAAATTTGAAGACCATAACGTCCGAAAAAATTTTCAGGTTTATGTAATTTCATCTTCTGTAGAAGCTAGTCAAATATATGGATATAACGAATGTCCCAGAAGAAATTGATCTAAATCTCAGTGAATATTTTCTCTCGTGTTTTAGTTACAAAAACAATTTCTTTTTATGTCTCAATATAGAGAATTTGAGACTCTCCAAAAGTTGTCGAGCTTGTTTCTCAAACAACTTTCTCTTGTCAACGAAAAATTTAGGAGAAGAACAACATACTTAGTCATCTAACTGCAACGATTAAGAAAACAAAACACGGATGACAACTTTTTTAAAATAGAAGCTCCAATGAATTGTCGTCTATCTCACGAAATTTCCTTTAACAATCTCATTACAGGCATCGATATATCGAACCAACTTGATGTATATCAGTATCATCTGTATTAATTATGTTTACAATCATATGATCCTCAAGATGTCTTCCTTACAAAGCAGCAAACATCAACTGAAGAGAGAACGACAAGACTTTTTTGATTCTCTATAAGATTTATTTATAGAAAATTCTTCGTTCGTCAATCTTCACATGATTCAATAATAATAAATAAAAAGCAGTTTGTTTTTTTTCTAATTTTTATTTATTTATTTATTCATTCTAATAAATTGGATTATAAAATTAGAACATCACTCTTATATCTATATCAACTTTTGCTAATCATTAATCTTTTCTCTTTCATTGTTGTTAAAAAAAAAAAAACATAATAAAAACAAAATTCTCGAATTAAATTGAAAGACTGTTTAAAATTATTTTCATTTGTATTTTATTTAGATTCGAGTAGATTTTGAACCATCACTATTACTAACAGGATACCATGGAACGGCTGATTCATCTTCATGCATGCTTGATGAACGAAAAATACTCTAAATTATTAAAGACTTTTAAACGACATTCTATTTTAAAAACGAATACCTGCATTGGTCGACTTGTATTGTTTTTATTTAGATAATGCTATATGAAAACCAAAATAATTAAAAATTATTATTTAAGATAAAATTGAAATAAATACTCGTGATCTTGCACTTTGACTAAAACTACTATTACCATTATAATTTTGATTATTATATCTAATTGATTTTGTTAGTGTTGCTGAAGGTGACGTAGAAAATAATGATGGACTTCGATAAAGTTTTGTTTGAGATGGGCGTAAATTTCTTTGTGATTTATCAGTTCGTAATCTAAATTATGAGAATTAAAAATTTAAAAAAAGTGTTTCTTTTTCTTACCTAGCACCAAATTCCATTGATGAATCATGTTGTAATAAAGGAGAATCACTAATACCCAAAAGTGTTTTACCTGTATTTTGCCAATTCTAAAATTATTCAACATAATTAATTACTATTGAATTTTTCCTAAATTCTTACTAATGCAACAAATTCAAGAAATGATTCATCTCTTTTAGGATCAAAATTTTGAAATTGTGCTAGAAAACAAACAAACAAAAGATGCAAGTCTAGAATATAATATTTTTTTTTCTTTTACTTTCACTGAATGACGTTATATGACGAGTATGTTCATCTGGTACACGACGTAAAATTTCATCATGTTCTATACGTCGAATAGATGGTACTTTTGGATTATATAATTGTTTTTTAACTGATGTTAATTTTATTCGTTGCTTTTGAAATCTATTTTATACAAATTTTGTTTTTTTTCCTCTACGCAACTCATAATTTGTTTTCAAATGATTTACCCAGAAAATATTTTTGGTTCAATATAACGACCTTGTGTAGAAAGATGTTGATATTCATTCCAATCTTTTTTAAGTAGACTATTACTTAATATGTAAAATACTTGTATTAAGAAAATAAAATATATAATTTTCTTACTCAGAAGTATTATTTGATGGAATAGATACAAGTTGACTCATTATTACTCTTGAATTCAATTCAAAATATTCATTTAATCATAAATCATATGTAAATCTAGAGTAGTACAGTATCAAATCAATCGAAATATAAATTGTTTTGCTGTGTGAATAGAACACCTGAAGAAAAAGAAACAATTACAACGTGGTGAAAGAAAAACAGGATGTTAAGTGTCTGAATGCTGTATTCTGCATTTATTTTTTGTCATCGACTAAGTTATTTCTTTCTTCACCACTACCATACTATAACAACACTTATGTAAAATCACATTGAAAACAACGTAACAATATGGTGTAGTAAACATTTTTTTATTACAATATTTTTTTTTGTTACTTTTTGAAGTTAAACATACATTTTATTAAATGTATGTAACGTTCGAATGAAGAACAATTGTTAAGAAGTTGTTTTGTTTTTCGAAACATTATATAAAGTAAACTTATGAATTATTGTTGCTGATGATATTAACAATATGTTATCCTTGACGCTAGAGTCTAAATCGATCAGTTATTGGCAAAAGCTCTAGAATAATTATTTTAAATTGAAATCATATTGATCAACGAGACATTGAATGCAAAAGTAATATTGATCAGCTTTTTGAAACGTATGGAAAACATTATTTATCAAGACTTTTGTTGAATACTATATATATATATCTTCGGATAAAGTAAAATAAAGTTTTAGAATATTTGCTGAAGATAGAGTCATATCTAATTGCACTACTTATGTAACAAAATACATAAAAATGTTAGACAAAATATAACAACGAAAATAAGTACGAATCCATCCTCAACTATAAATAATCTAGGACTATTTCTAAATTAATTGAGTTAGTAAGTCAAGCTAAATTTGATTTTGCTGTTCAACAATATATAATATTCATCAAAAGGAATCATCATATCTTTCTGATAATAATATAACCCCAAAACAAATAAAACTCTTTTATTAATTATTTCGTTTAACTGAATATATCTCTCGATTACAATTAATTTGCATTTTAAATATAAAATCTAAATGTGCACAAAAATTTCTATCACAACTCATAACATTTAATGAACTTTTTTCACTGTCAATTGGAAAAATTTATAGAAAAACTATCGCAACAATTCAATTAACCTGAGCCGATAGCCCACAAAAAAAAGCGTTTAGTATAATCTCTGAAATTAAAGTATGAAACAGAATGTAGTTGCTCTTGCTAATCAAAGAAAATTGCTGTATTAAGTCTGTTTTGGGACACATTTCTTCATCATCCTTTTACTTAATTTTCCTGAACTGCAACAAGGTAGTAGTTCATAGATTAGAACGAGACGTTAATCACATACGGTCTCTCATCGTATATTAACAATGTCTGTCAGTCAATCTATCAGGGAGAAGAAATAGTTCAAATTTTTACTCCTTGATTTCAACACTGCTTTTAGATCGTGTTTCACAGAAGGTCATTCTATATCAGAAGATCACTCACAGGAAAACTTTCACAAAGCGTAATAGAAGACCATAGGTTTTCAAAAGCCTTTTTCGGAAATCAAGCGAATTTTAATACCTTAAAACCGAGCTTTTGAAAAAACGGCGCTTATTTGCTAAAAATACTTACTTGAGTATCGTAAGATTTTTTCGAAAATCCTTGTTTTCTAAGTGGAGGTTAACAAAAAAACTAACTTAGAATCGAAGGTTTCATCTGAAGGAACAATGTGAATTTCTATAATAGAAGGCGTTGGGATTTTAGTCTGTGAAAGCGAATTACCATCACTAAAACGACTCGTGATTAGTTCATATAAACATATTCCCTATATGATAGTGTGAATACTTGAACTGAATTGACAATTGATGATAATCATTTTGTAATAGAATTTTATCTTGAGATTCTTGAATAAACGACTAATTACAACTGTCATCATTATAGTCTTTTAATGTAGCCAACAATATGGAGACGATTTAAAAATTTTTATGAAGAGAAAAAGATGGCAATATTCTGCGGCCTTCAATTCTTCGAATGTCACAGTTAACTAAATTTTCTTTAGATGATAATGGAAGTCGCAGTTCGCTACCGGATGGTGAAAATTGGTAAGAACTTATTCATGCATCATTAAGATTCTTGGAAACTTTTCCATTTTATTCTTCATTCATTGTTATATTAACGCATTGAACGACATATATCAAGTTGTAACATCGTTTTCGACACCATTCTTTTCTTTTTTAAAATGTTGGTTTATACTTTACGATTCGAACTATTCGGGTTTATTCCCAAGATGTTCTATAATCTTTATTCATTACATTTTCACAAATGTCCATTGATAAACGTTCGTTTGACACAGATTTATTGACTTCCGTTACCAGTAACATTCAAAAAATAAAGAGGAATTCTATGCGTAAATAAAAAGCCTTGTATTACATGGCGCATGTTAAGTACTTGGTTCCGATTGTTTTTGCATCCAATATGAAGTAATTGCTTCTCAAAGATAGTCTTACTACAAATTGTTTTTTTTTTAGTTGGTAAAGTTATATTATTTAGAAATAGGAAGTTATGCAAATACGTCATCCGCTGAGTTCACTCGTTTGCTTGTTATTCGTATTTTTCTTTAGCAATTGTTTATTAGCTAAAAGAAAGAGAAAATAATGTTGTGAACTCATATTTTAAAGTTGTTAGCAATGCATTGTCACAGTAATTGTTGAATAATTTTTTTCTGCGTCTATCTTTTCAGTCAACAGCTTTCTGTAATTTTCTAGTCATATTCATGTGGCATCTTTAAAAATAACGTCAGCTTGAAACAACAAGAAATGACACACATTAGGAAAATACTGAAATATTCATCGATTGTACAAGGTAAATATTAAATAAATTCTATTTCTAAAAAATAGAGTTAGCAAAAGCTCAAACTTTTTCAAATTATTATCGAACGAATTGAAAAATCATTTAAACAATGACGATTATAGAGTCATGGTTTAGTCATATATATCAAGCTGTCGACAGTATCGAGAATTCATTTTTCTTCAGTAGCGGCATCAAGTATGTGAATTACCTGAAGTCCAACTCTAGTGCAGACTAGTCCGTTGTATAATAACGAAAACGAGTAATAAATAATATTTTATTGATCATGAAATATAGTAAGTATCATTTTTTTTCTGATAATGTTTGCGATATTTCTCAGTTTTTTTTTTGCTGTTTTTTAACTATATGCTGTTCGTCATGTGTCGTTCTTGCGTTCAAAATTAATTGTTCCCTCTGAGATGTTTTTCTTATAGCATAAAAAGGCTCACTTTATATATAATTACACTTTCACTACAACTTCTGCATATTTCATTAAGTAAGTAAGAGCAATTCTCCAGTAACTCTAATGCTAATTTTGTATAAAAGCATAGTGTCCTTTCAATATATCCATATGAAAATCTTTGTAAGATGATTATGTTTTAATATCTTTAAAGTACGATATCTCAAGTAATGTTTATTTTTTCTTAATCATATATATGTTTTTGGCCTATAAGCAGAGTTAAGGTTATAAGTAAAATCGATATAGAGATGAACGAATAATTTATTATAAAGATGAAAAGTGATAACAGATATTCCATTTTTTGAAAAATGTTCATAATGCGAAAGTGAGTTCTATATTCTAGAAATATCCATATGAAATACGATTGTAATTTATCAACTAGAAAATCGTATTTTCAAGAAAATTAAAGTTCATTGTCGAATTTGTGTGACTATTCCTAGAATATCCTTTTCTGTTTTCTATTATTTGTTTTCCATTTTACAGTATACCATATCCGGTACGTTGTTTGCATATATTTGATATGTCTCTTGGTGTCACACAGATGAAGTAGTATTCAACAGCTTTAATACAACTAATTTTGTCTTATTGTATTAGAGAAATCGTAAAGAAAATTATTAAATTTTGTTAATCATTTAAATTTTTCTGATTTATGAAAAATTTTATTCATATTATCCATGAAGAAATTTTATTTGCGGTTTTCGTTTCCATTAGAAAAAAAGACTTTTAATAAATAAACTCTATTGTCAATCCTTGTTTGATTTATGTATATATATCATATAGTCAATCTCATTTGCATATAAATGCAGGCACAAGAAAGAATAGCATAATTTCTTTCGAAAGATGTTTCGTTAATAAATTCGTCATGACAAGCTACGAAGAATATATGTACATGTGCTTTCATCGATCAGAAACAGCCCGAAGAAAAAAAAACCATAAAGAAGTTACAATAAGTTACCAAACGCTTTTTTTTCTTTAGTACACAAATGAGAAACTAATCGAAAGAAAAAGAACTTATAAAAACAACATATTAATTCAAGGCAATGGAATAATGTATCAACATACAAGATGACATTGTGCAATTAGGAGAAAAAAATTACGAGATATTAGGAAGCATTGATGATATTTCAAATAAGCATTATGATAGAATTTGTGTTCTTTTGAAGTAAGAACTATCAGTCTACATCAGAAACAACAAAATTTAGTATTTAATTTCAATAATTATACGATTTGCAATACTTATCAACAATAGCTTTAGTCGAGTGACAAAACTAACAGACATAAATAGATAGACGAAAATACAGATAATTCATATATATATATACATGTATATAGTAGTGCCAATTATATATTGAAATCGACATTAGAAGTAGACAAAGAAATGAGTCCTCTAGCTCACTAAATAATCGAAATGATTGACTTTTCTGGAAAGGTCTTAGATTTATTTCATACATGACGTTTAAGAAAAATTAATAAAAATTTCTATTATTAGCTAAGCTCATTTTATCAGATCTATTAATCAAATGAAAGAATTTATATAAATTCTATTTATAATTCAGAGTAATAATTTTCTTTTTTGTTAATATCGAATTAAGCAAACCAAATGTTTAAAAATAGTACAAAGAAAATCAATAACAGTGAAGATACGTAAGGTAATAATAAATATCTTAGTAAGAACGAAATAAAAATGAATTATCGTAATCAGTATTCTATAGAATCGTTCGTTCTATTTATCATGAAAA